AGCAACTTGTCGTTTATTTAGGTTTTCTCTAGGAATAAAATACATAAGATTGTAACGTCGATGTAATTCTTGGTCGAAAGATTCTAATTCATCATCATCATCATCATTGTCATAGATATTGTAGTCTTCAAAGCTTTTTGATTTTGAGTTAAAAAACTTCGTACATAATGGCTAAAGAAGATTTTAATTAATTGATTGAATTGGAGAATAATTAGCAAAACATTTATTTGCTTGTCAAGAATGTATACTTACCGATAAATCAAGTATAACTCCATTCTGGATTTTTGTAAATTCGTCTTTGCATGTAGAAATTAACATATTTTTTTTACGGTAAAAATAATAATAAAATTAATTATTAGTACCGGAAAACGAAATGAAAAAAAATGTGTGTGATGTGTGTATGATGAATCCTTTTGTTGAAGTGAAAAGGATATACTTGTAAAGTTTGAAAGGTTGTTATTTAGTGTACTTGCATCTGCTTCATAAGGGCGCTGACATATATTAGCTAATATCGTTCGCTTACCCCCAACCCATTTTGATCATGTGTATAACAATCATTTGCCTTCTTTAGATATCAACAAAATAACGAAAAAAAAGAATTGATTTTAATATATAATGATCTCTTGAAAATTTCTGAATATGAATTGCATTAACATCCCTTGACCAAACACCCTATCTGGTTCTGAGTGTAATAACGCCTACTTATCCTGCTAAAGGAAAATATAAAGAACAAAACTCATAGATTTTTGATTATTTCTCTCTCAAAAAAAAAATATATAATAATAGATGTCCTATATAACAAAGAAAAGAAGCAAAATTGATTTGTTATTTATTTAAAAAGGATGGTGATGATGGTAGTATGTAACATGTAATCATTCTAGTTATTTTTAAAGAATGTTGACAGCTGTGACTTGTTGCAATTCATTGTCATTCATTCTAGTTCTAATTTTAAATAGCATGAATAAAATATTGTTACACGTTCTTTAGTAAGAATCTCAAAAAAAAAAAAAAAGAGTAAGAAAAAAATAAAGTTTTTGACATAAGGCCTTAATGTAGTTTTACTGGTGCTGGTGGTAATATTACCATTAATGATTGTTCAATATATATTTATATATTCTTTTTGTCATCAGTTATTGAATAATTTAAAAATTAAAGCTATTTGTAGACACTGGTAAAAGTTTTCAATTAAAAACAATAATCAACAAACTGAAAAATGTTGGGTGAAACAGAAGTTGGTGTTACTGCAATGGCTGGCATAACCATTACATGACCAACATTGATATAACTTTTATACTCATTTTTAAGTTTAGCAGCATCAAATTATTTTTTACCTATCTTATCAATGATGAGGTAAAATAGGATTATCCTATAGACAATTTATTAATTATAAACAAATATTAATTGTGTATTTTCAAGGTCAAATGTGACCCAGAAATTCTCTATATTAATATTAATATGTTTTAAAGGTCAGTTATCACATGTGACAAATTCAAATGTCCGCCATGCTATAATATTAGTATTTTTATCATATAGTCTAGAAGCCTAGTAGTAAATGTTGAAAGTGTCAATATTTATCAGATATTCTTTTAAAATTAATCTTTTTTATTAGTGAATTATTGCTTAATTTAATAAACCAATAATTCTTTTATATTATAATTAAATTATTGGTTAAATAAT